TGGAAAACTATCGGAGACGATCTTCAAGCTCATCCACCTTAGCTTGGACTTTGTCCTGTTTTTCCTTAATAAGCGCTTCGATTTTATCTTGTGGCTCCTCGATTTTATCCTGTCTCTCTCTGAGTTCCGCGTTATCTTTGAATTCTCCTGTAGCTGAGTAATCTTTTCATCTAGCTGCGATGACATGTATGTTTTCTGTGCTTCCAGCTGCGATGACATGTACGTTTTCTGTGCTTCCAGCTTCGATGGGACATCTGAAGACAACTGCGATCTCTGCGCTTGTAGCTGTGATGAAATTGCAGTCAATAACGTGTTCATATCCATAGCTGTTAATGACGAAGGAGCCTTTTGCTGTTCTTCATCCTTCCCGGCTGTCTGCTGCACATCCTTCGACGAACAAGCAGTCTCATCCTTCTATTCGTCCTTTGCGGATGCATCGTCGAGTTTACCCTGGAAGTCGTATTTGTCCACGTCGATGCCTTCTGCTTCCATAGCCTCTCGCAGCCGTGATAGTAACTCCACTTTTCTTCCGGAGGTTGCTAAATTTCGCTTCTCCAACTCCTGTTTGAGTTCGTCGATCTTTAGGTCTTGAATTTTTGCCATTTTCAAAAGTTTATCCTTCGGGATTTATTTAACAATCCCACTTCTGACACCAATGTTACGATTATCCTTGAAACCTGAGGGTCAATTCACGTTCTGTATAAAATTAACACCGAAATAAATGCGGTGTGAAGGTGTTATTTTTATCACTTCACGGTAACGCAGAACGGGAATTGACCCTCTGGAGGGATTCCCCAAATATCTGCCTGACGGACATTTGTTGTGTAGGCTGCTGTAGGAGATTGTTGTTATAACGGTTACTAAACCCCGCTCGGATCGGCTTGTCCATCACGGTTGTCGTCGGGCACAGAAAGTTTGCAACTTCCACTGGGTCTGCCCATAGGGGCAGGGGCGTTAGATGGGTGCGGTTTTGGGAGTATACGAAGAGATGTCGTGAGTCCATCTGCATTCACTCTGCGCAGGTACGAGTTTGGCCTGCTGTAGTAGTCAGAAGAAAGATGGGCTATTGTGGTGCGAGTCTCCTGAAGCAGGCAAAGCTCTGTTGCGTCCATGTGGCGTGGTGGTTTGGCCTGTAGGTATGTACTCCGGTCCTGAGGTTTTATGACCCTCTGGATTTCGTCCGTCAGTTCGCATAGATGCTTCCTAACATGCCTTGGCGAGGGATCTGCTGAAAGAAGGTGTCTGTTTGGGTGCACGCGTCTATGTCACCATACTAGGAGCTGCTTGCAGAGCATTTGTTATGCTCCCTGATAAGAAGCATCTGGGCCTCGCCGTGTAGGTGGTGTTGAGGCGACATCACAAGGTATCTGTTGCGTTTCGCATGTCTGCAGCGTCTGTATGTGTTTCTCGGTTTGCTGGTTTTGTCTCTAAAATTGACTGACGAATGTCGACCACTCAGATGATTCGAATACCACCGTTTGAGCCCTGTGGGAGAAAGGAAGCGTCAATGTATTAGCGTGGGGTGACTGACGGTGTCAAACACTTTTGCCAGATCCAACGCTTCTACGAATGCACTCTCACAGGGCGGTTTCAGTTTAGGCCACGTGTTATCTGGGTGTTTATGGTTAAGTGTTGTTTTTATACTGTGCACTTTTCAGAACCCATGCTGCTGCCTCGCTGGGGTCAGGTGGTTCGTACAGTACGGGAGTAGCAAGGCCTCAAATGTCTTCGCTACCGGGGAATGGAGTTATCGGATGATGACTCTCTCTTGGACTGTTTTCCGGTTTAAGCAGTGGGACCACTCTCTCCATTTTCCAGATGGCCGGGATTATGAGAGTGGCCATAGACAGGCCTACTCCCGCAGGACCAACATTTTTCAGTATCAGCATCCAAATTCCATTGGGACCTATGGCTTTGGAGACTTTCTCTCTAGCCGAACTTCACCGCTGGTAAAAACACGAGGTGCACAAGGTGTTGGCAGGTTATGCAGCCTTCTGGTCACTCGACGTTTGGCTTTGTCAGCCGGAGGATGCAGCGTCAGCTGTCGGCTAAAGTAGCTAGCGCATCGCTCCGGGTCCAGCGAGGCGCGGTCGCCGAAAGAGATTTCGACTCTGCCGTCGCGCTTTATCGGGTTAAACTGTGACCTCACTTTTGGCCAAAGCTTGCACACACCAGAGGCGAAGTTACAAGTCTTCAGATACTCTTCCCACTTCTTCCGCTTATGTACGTTCACAAGTTGCCGAATTTCCGTATTGAGATCCCTATTGCGGGGATTTCTGGGATCGTCCTGACGCTCATCAGCTAGGACCGCCGCTTCGGCAGGAAAATTCGGACGGGAATCCGAAATAGATCGTGGCAGGATGAAGCGGGCTGTAGAGGCAGTGACAACCCTGCAGAACTTACGTTCACCAACGTGCAGGTCGGTTGGTGAGGGGCGGGCAAAGAAGGTGCTTTCAGTAATTTCCGCGGGGCCGTTCCAATAAGCTTTGGAAAAGTTGACGTAGGTTCGGTGTTCCACGGAAGCAAAGTTGGCAGGTTTATCAATCGAGATGACTATGGGCAGATTGCCTCATGCTAAGGTTACCATAGGTCCCCCCGTTATGCTGTTTATCAGACCAGCGCTTACCAATTATTATATCAAGCGAGCTACTGCAGCTGCCCATAATCCTGATGCGTGGGTCATCGTTCATTGTGCAGAATGTCGAATCGTCCATATGCTGAGCCAAGTGTGTTCCCCTACGATCATTTGACACTCTTGAATGGCAAAGATCGTGGTGCGCGTTAAAGTCGCCGACTACTATACGGTTTTTACCTCTGAGCAGTGCGCCTATTTAAGGGTGATATCCTACAGGGCAGCTGGTGAAAGCTGATATATACACGTTAAATATTTCGAGATCGACATTGCTTGACCGGATAGGTATAACTTGACATTCTAGGATGGTATTCCTGGGGTCCATGTCTGCTTCGATAGGGCGATTCAGCAGGGTATGGTACGTAATGAACTCCACAATAGATAGGTACAGGGCGATTGTTGTTGTTGTTGTAGCAGCTTACAAACTCCCCAAAGAGTTTTTGGTGAGTGTTGCTGGAGTTACAGTCCTTGGCCAAATATTAATCTGGGTCGTTCCGGTTACGTAGACCCGACTGTCGTGAAGAATTTTTGGGGAGTGTTGCTGGAAAGACATTCCTTGGCAAGATATAAATCTGAGCCGTTCCGGTTACGTAGATCCGACTGTCGTGGAGGCGATGTCTTGTGGTGGTAGTAGGTGGCGTCGGGTAAGGAATTTGCGGTTGCGCAGCTCTTCAAAGAGCGACTTGCTCATCCATTCTAGTCAGATGCGCGGTCCTGAACATGCCCTAAAGTTGCACCAACCAAGGCAAGAGTTACATTTAACTGATGCCGTATTACAATATATCCCGGACCAACACACCGAACAGAATGTCTGAAGAACTACCAGCTGTTGGGTTGTCCTTTCTTGTGGGTTGCGGCAGCGAGTAGATGGGGGTGTAGTTGTGTGTGTGTGTTATGTTAGGTGGTGAGCGTGATGGGTTGTGTTGCTCAGGTGAGCTCCGGTGAGCCGTGGAGGCTGCCTGGGTGTTAAGCGGGACCGGTACCATCACGGGGCCACAAATGACGTGGCCCACTACGGTGCCCGAGTAGGTTCTAAGATCCATTGCACCTAACTGAAGTGGAGTTTAGATGTTAGTCTCCGGCATACGTAGCAGGTGTAGGTTTCTGGTTTCAAGGTTTGACTCGATGCCAGTCCTGAGCAAAAGAATACGTAGCTTATGTTGCCCTAACGACGAACTACGCCTATAAGATTTCGCCGACATAAAGTGATACCATGATGGTCGAAACAAAAGCTCTTGGCCGGGTACAAAAATACTTACAAAACTAAATAATTTCGTTACGATAATTTTAATAAGTTGAAAATGCAGACATGCTCTTCTTTTTTGTTTACTCAGCTTTTAATTTGCTTTGACCTTTCAGATTTCACCAGGAAAAATTCTTCGGTAAAATCTTGAAACTTCTGATAAAGAGGGAACCTCTTTTACTCTCTCATTTTACCACTAATTTCCCAGAACATCGATTACAGGTACGATTTCCGGTAAATTCTGACAAAAACCTGCCAAACTCTCTTATTTTCTNCATTTCGTTACGATAATTTTAATAAGTTGAAAATGCAGACATGCTCTTCTTTTTTGTTTACTCAGCTTTCAATTTGCTTTGACCTTTCAGATTTCACCAGGAAAAATTCTTCGGTAAAATCTTTAAACTTCTGATAAAGAGGGAACCTCTTTTACTCTCTCATTTTACCACTAATTTGCCAGAACATCGATTACAGGAACGATTTCCGGTAAATTCTGACAAAAACCTGCCAAACTCTCTTATTTTCTCCTAAAATCTTGAAACTTCTGATAAAGAGGGAACCTCTTCTACTCTCTCATTTTACCACTAATTTGCCAGGACATCGATTACAGAAACGATTTCCGGTAAATTCTGACAAAAACCTGCCAAACTAGTTTAAAGCCAAGCTAACAAATACTTAGCCAACGACAAACTAGGGTTTTAAAAATAAATTTTTCCGTTGTTGTTGTTGTAGCGGCTACTAGTCCCCGCTCGGGTCGACTTGTTTATAACCGTGATTGCCACAGCTGAGGGGAGGCCATACATTTTTCCGTCATCCCTTTTACTGTTTTGCAAGACAAATTTAATATGCTTAAATAAAACGTGTGCAATTTTAAGAAGTGATTTAAGTCCTTATTATAATATATCATGTAGTATAATGTACGAATAACAATGTTAATTTTTACCACAAATATAATAATTTTTCTCACTAATTTTGGTCCAGCCGCACATGCGGCGTAACAAAAAAATTTCGTACGAATTCTTTCCAAAACTCAAAATAACACATAAGGTACACCTTTTCAAGAAAATCAAATAAAATTACAATTAAAATGAATAATGGAAATTATGAGGAATGCTATAACTTAGATAATTTATGTATGTACGTGTGTATTTTAAGTTTTTTCCGATACCAGAATTTTTTGTTTAATCCTATTGTTTATTTATTTTTTAAGCTATCGGAGTGTAATCATTTAATCCTGCGCTACTTCTTCGCGCTGCTTTGCTTCTTCGATGCATTCATTCAACTTTTGCTTGAACTTATTCGCGAGATCGACGTTCTTGAAGCGCACTGCCAATTTTTCTACCTCGCCCTCGCCCGATTCGGCATAGTTAAGCGTTGCCCAAATAAAGCTCTTCGGATTATTATTCATGTTGTTAAAACTAAAATCTGGTCCAACGGCGTGGTTCAACACTAATTTGTGTATTTGCTCGCGCCGCATAACCAAGCGATATGTTTGTTTGGTGGTGTGTTGCAAAATCTTCAACTCGCCAACGCCTTGAACATATAGAAATGCATTGAAGTATACTGAAAGACGTTAAATTTCAACTTTATTTGCTTACCGCGTTCCTTCCACTCCTTCGTATTGGCGTCGTAACGGTATAGAGTCGCACGTTCGCCGAATAACTTAGTTTCTTCTTCCTCGCCGGTGCTTACACGAATTTCATCGGGTAATGCAATTACAGGATCATAATGAGGGTCATAGTTTTCATTATCCTCAGCACTTTTCGCTGAGTCATTTGCGCTACCATCCTTTGACATATTTTGATTGGACTTTCCAAAGCTGGAGAATGCATCCTGGTCGGTAAGGCCAATGAATTCCCCTGGACCAGGTTTTTGGGCAGGCTTATTTGCAGGTGTCGAGTTCGCCTTGGCCGCTAAGCTGGCAAAGTCTATTGCGCCAGCTTTTTTAGAGAGATCAGCAAAACTAGGTGCGGCCGCTGTTGATTCCTTAGCAATGTCGCTGAATAATGAGCCATCCTTGTTAGTATTATTGATGTTTGAGTTGTTCGTATTATTGCTATTTCCAAATATAGAACTCTGAGTATTAACCGAGTTTCCAAAACCTGCGAATGAAGGTCCACCAAATATGGATGTGCTGCCCTGTGAATTTGTGGTAGAAATGGCTGAACTACCGAAAATCGACTTTGTTGTGTCATTATTCGAAGCAGATTTTCCATCGAAAATAGAAGTGGAGGCTGAACCGAAGACAGGTTTACCGCCGAATATAGATCCACTTCCAATAGAGCTGCCAATTCCACCAAAAATGGATTTGGGTTTATCACTTTCAGATATGGTAGTAGAATCGGCGGGCTTGGATACGGAGTTGGCGGCATTACCAAATATCGACGGTGTTTGTCCGAAAACGGGTTTCTTATCTGAAATACGAAAAATCAAAAAACACTCAATTTTTGAAGGCGCAAATTATGCAATATGATATGAATGAATAGGGGTATCTCGATCCGTTGCATACTATCTAGATAGATAGATAGATATTAATATGAGGTGTGCACTGCGACCTGGTGATCTATTGTGCCCTCTTCTCTTCACATCCCTTCATCTAAGCCCAGCTCCCTTAGAAAGTTCAATAGTGCCTTCGGGGGTAGGGAGTGGATGTGCTCAAGCTGTGGCCACAACGAGCCTAAACTCCTCTCATGTCTTCTGCAGACAGCCTCACATTCGGTTTCTTGTTAAACCCTCCAAGTAAACTCTTTGCCAGGCGCATTCCTACCGAACTGCGCCAGTTAAAATTCCTTAGTGTGAGCCTCTCTCACCTAAGCTCCTCCATTATGGTATTGGGACCTACTGCCAGGAAGGGCTCTGGGCCAACTGGTGTGATGGCTGCCGCCTCTCTAACGAGGCAGTCTGCAACATCATTTCCCTCTACTCCCCTATGGCCGGGTACCCACGCTAACCAGATGTTATTGTGCCTGCCAAGGGAGTTTAGCTTCTCAATGCACTCAAGGACCAGTGAGGATTTGACTTCATAGGATAGAAGAGCCTTGAGTGCCACCTGAATATCACTCAACGTTATAATTTTCTCATTATTCTCATTAGACTTCTGCTTGGAAGATGCTCGGGTATTTCCCCATAGGAACAGAGATTCTTGTTCTGGGCCCAAGGACTCCTGCCCCTACTATATCTGGGGTCTTCGAGCCATCTATTTACCAATGCAGTGTGTACTCCTGGAGTAATCCCTCGAATGCGGGGCGCTCCAGGTTGTTTTGCTGCATAACTCTATCTTAAATCTCTTCTCAAATACAATGGTTTTTCCAATGGCATCTCTAGGGAACAGAGCAAGCGGGATCGAGGACCCTAGCTTCTCCATACTCCTAGAGGATATGACCTTACTTTTGCCACATCCCTCTCTAGCAAAGCTGAGCAGAGTTCTTTTGGCTGCCTNGGGTTTTTCCAATGGCATCTCTAGGGAACAGAGCAAGCGGGATCGAGGACCCTAGCTTCTCCATACTCCTAGAGGATATGACCTTACCTTTGCCACATCCCTCTCTAGCAAAGCTGAGCAGAGTTCTTTTGGCTGCCTGTCGTCGGACATGTGCGCATTGCTCCAGTTATACATACACAAACCAGTCGCTGTAGCTTGGTGAGTGATTGTCTCACCGTGGCCTGAGTAGTTCTTGAAACCCAAGCCACCACCCGATAGGTAATCATTGGCTGTAATATCATGATGTAGAGCCATCTTAGGATCATGGGGCTACAACCACAGGATTTTTCTGCTAGACGCTTACACAGCATTAACGCTTTCGTGGCCTTAGAGGTGATCGCGTCCACATGCTTCTTCCGTCGAAGTTTGGTGTCTAGGATTATTCCCAGATACTTCACTTCGCTGGCGACGCCGACCACGACCCCCTCCAGGGTTATCTCCCTCATGCCCAATAGGGCTATTTTCCTGGTAAATGGGATGATGGCAGTTTTGGCCGGATTGATGCTAAGGCCTAACTTGGCACACCATCTTTTTGTTAATCTTAAGCCTCTTTGAATAATGTCGCAGAGGGTGCTCTCAAACTTCTCCCTGGCAATAATCACTACCCAATAGATAATTTCAGGAGTTAAAAGCCCTTCTGAAAAGCCTTCCTGAGAGTCAAGAGGCCTTCCACTCTACATTCCTTTCTCCTTTCTTTTTTGTATGGAGTGGCACAAATTGAAGGTCTTCTTCTTTCGCTATCCATGGAAGGCCTTCCAGAAGGGTTTTTATATGACGGACTTCAGAAAGCCTTTTGGAGGAGTTCTTTTGAAATTGGCTCTTNTCCCTGGCAATAATCACTACCCAGTAGATAATTTCAGGAGTTAAAAGCCCTTCTGAAAAGCCTTCCTGAGAGTCAAGAGGCCTTCCACTCTACATTCCTTTCTCCTTTCTTTTTTGTATGGAGTGGCACAAATTGAAGGTCTTCTTCTTTCGCTATCCATGGAAGGCCTTCCAGAAGGGTTTTTATATGACGGACTTCAGAAAGCCTTTTGGAGGAGTTCTTTTGAAATTGGCTCTTAAATTTATAAAAATCATACATCTTTGAAGGATTTGCTAAGGTTTATATCAAATATGTTACTGCAACTTAAAATGTTTATTGAAATTTATTTGTAATGGTAAATAATATAAATTAATGCATTCGCGTAAATTGGAAATGGATAAGCCCTTCTAGAAGGCATGCAAGGAGCACTTTTTTCAGTCCTTCTTGGGTAGGCCTCTTAGAATGCCTTTACTTAATTTAATTAATTAATCCCAACGGCTTTTTACCCTCCATTCCCGCCCAACCGACACGGGGGGCGCAGTCCGCATGACGTACGGAACCTTTTTTTTTTAGTTTTTTGGTGCCGAGTAGTGGAAACAGGAGTTTGTTAAGTGTCGAGATCTAAAACTATTCAGCTACAGAATCAAATTCATCAGCTGATTGGATATGCTAAAGATAGTATTTCAATTATTGAGAGTGGAAATGATAGTTTTGTTTATAGTAAAAATCGAGTCCGATATACCAAACGTGCTGGAATGAGAGTTAAAATCTTGACTTAAAAAACTAAATTAGTTTTGCATGGGTTCAAAAACAGAGGTCGAAAGGGTCTTGACACTCGAGAGGGCACATTAAAATTGACCTCAGCCGGAAGGGCCGGGCTATTAATCAAGCCTGTCATTAATTTTACGATAAATATTATACCCAGCATTTCTCTACGACTTGCGAGTGTAGGCAAATTTATGAGCTTAAGACGACTTGTGTAAGGGGGGAGATTGTAATCTGAATCCCAGTTAAAGTTATGCAACACAAAAAGCAAGAATTGTGTTTGAATTGATTCAATAAGAAGGCATACCTACATTAGTCCTGAGTCCTGAGAGTCAAGAGGCCTTCCACTCTACATTCTTTTCTCCTTTCTTTTTTGCATGAGGTGGCACAAATTAACGGGCTTCTTCTTTCGCTACCCATGGAAGGCCTTCCAAAAGGGATTTTATAGGACATACTTCAGAAGGCCCTTTGGAGCAATTCTTTTAAAGTTGTTTCTTTAATTTATAAAAATCATACATTTTGTAGTATTTGCTTAAGTTTTATATGAAATATGTGTTATTGCAACTTAAAATGTTTATTTTGAAACTCATTTGTAATGCATTCCCGTAAAATGTAAATGGATAAGCCCTTCTAGAAGGCATGCAAGGAAGCACACTCCCCCACCTTGGTTTCGGCAATCCTAGTATGCAACAGCGTATCCACCCAGTCGCAGATCACTGGCTGCACGTTTCTCTTCTCTAGTGCCCTGCGCACACCAGAGTGAGACGTATTGTCGAACGCTCCTTCTATATCGAGGAAAGCGCAGAGCACTGTTTCTCCGCATTCCAAAGCCCCCTGAATTTCGTTTGTCAGTTGATACAGGGCTGTGTCCGTTGATCTTCCAGCTCTGTACGCATGCTGACAAACGTGTAGGGGGTTTACCTTCAGAATGTTAGATCTTATGTAATTGTCCACTATCTTCTCCATTGCTTTTAGCACAAAGGAGATAAGGCTTATAGGTCTGAAAGACTTTGCTAGCGAGTAGTCCCTATATTTCCCACCTTCGGGAGAAAGATTACCTGCGCCCTCCGCCACACCTGTGGGACATAAGCCTCCGCAAGGCTGCTTCTTTTTATGTCCGCTAGGTATGGTATTAAGTTCTCTCCACCCTGCTGCAACATGACTGGACGGATGCCACATCTACCCCTGGGGCCTTATATCGGTCAAACGATCCCAGCGCCCACCTGACTGAATCCTGGGGGAAAGTACTTCTTACCAGTTTCCAGTCACATGGTCGCGGTATAGTTCGCCGGACCTCCGGCCCCTGTTCTAAGGTAATGGCCTCCGGGAAGTGAGCTGCAAGAAGAGTGGCTGTCCTCTCATCTATGCTGTTTGTATAGGTGCCATCCGGACTCTAATTCCGATTCCACCGTTCCTCTGGCAAGAGCCTTGTGCATACTATCTAGCATGGTGCATAAATAGCATGACAGTATGCACCGGATCGATAATTCCCCCAATATAAATATAGAACTTTGGGCTCTTAAATCTTGTAGTAGGTTCAATAATGAAACGAGATATAATAGCAAACCACTCACCTGATCCACTTCCAAATAAAGAACTTCCACTTAATCCGGTAGAGCTAGAATTATTTCCAAACAAAAACTCAGTGCTTGGTGCGCCCGCTTTATTTTCCACATCCTTATTGCCACTATTCATGGCAGCAGTGAAAGAGAAAGCGCTCGCAGTCTTCTCATTGCCAACACCAAACGGCGTAGAGTTCACGTCACCATAGCCGGAGAAAATATTCGATTCACCCATTTTCGGAGTAGCTGTGCTATCACTCACGTTAGTGGTGAGGGTTTGTGTAGCAGGAGAAGGAACCATTGGTGACAAAGCGCTTTCTTTTAGCAACGAACGATTCATGCTACCTGTATTGCCGATTTTTGGCAATGACAACGAAGGTAAAGCCAAAGGTTTCAGTGCTTTTTTGCTGTCTTCTTCATTTACAAATGTTTCATTCACTACGGGAAAGACAAATTTGTCCGGATCGCATCCACGGCAGCCGGCACAAGTCGGTTGAGCGGTGAAAAATTCATTGGGTAAGAGCAAATTATCAGCTGTTGCCTTATCCGCATCTGATAAACCAGCAGACGCTGATTCGTTCGCAATCTCCTTTTCGTTCTCCACATATTCAGTCATATTTAAAGTGGTATTTGTGGAAATGCTACCCACATTCTCAACGGCGACAGCAGTACCATCAATGGCATTCTTAACAGCATCCATAAAACCTTGCGCAACCTCTTTTGTCTTAAAGCGTAATGAGAATTTTTCTAATTCTACTGTGCCCTCACTGAAATCGTTCACAACGAATAGCCAAGATTTGTCATCCTTAGATTTATATTCAACTTCTTCATTCAACACGTGATTGAGGCATATTTTTAAGACTTGTTCACGACGCATAACAACACGTAGTTTTTTCGTTTGTTTGTGACGCAATATCTTTACATCGCCGAGACCACGCTCCTTCCACTCGCCTTCGAAAAACCGGTACAACTTTGCGCGATGCACATAGAGCAATTCCTCATCTTCTTCGCCTGTCTTTACGTCGATCTGCAATCATACAGAAAATTACATACTATATTTCTGTATGTACATATATATATCATAACCAAAATTGGGTTTTTTTTCGTAAACGTTATCCAGTTAGTTTTTCGCAATTTGGTTGCATTCGTTATCGAAGATAAAACTATCGAACAAAGTAAAATCGTAAAGGTAACTAACACAAGTAACAAATTTCACAATATCTCCTAATACAACCAAATTTCCTGAAAACAATTTATTTTTTAGTTGCCGAAAATTTGCAAGTTTACTTCAATATCATTTTGGTTATATATTTCCTTTACTTTGCAAGTTATATTACAGTCTTGCGACAGTTTTCCCCTTAAAAAATTAATTAGCAATTTATGTAAGTATTAGTTAGTAATCTAAGAAAAAATAATAAAAAAAAATCCATCATGAGAATATTACTTTTTATTTTATTTTTCTTACTGTTACCGCATAACTACAAGTTTCCATAAGTCTTTTTGATTTACTTAGTCTCTTTGGGATGGAGCTTTTTGAACTAATACTGTTGACTTTTAAGTATAAATTGTAGTATACGTGGTATTGTGTGTACTGTATTATTTCGTACTTGCACATCATGTAGAAAGCTGTGTTTCAAACGATGAACATAATAGTTCATCAATACACTCTCATTTACATTTCCCCTGTATATATATATTTATGTGTTTGTGTTTCTTGTCTGTTTGAATATTGTATATGTATGTACCCACCAAACAATTTTTGTTGCCGGCAATAAGGTCGGTGTTATGCAGACAAACTTTTGTTTGCCAAATTAAATGGCGGCTGCTTAGTTTGCTCGGAGGTGGTTATGTCGAGTTTGGCACAGGGTTGCACGTTCATTATGGTTTTCATGGCTATTGCCAACACGAAATGAGAATTTCAGATGTACATAACGCGCAAAATTTAAAATTTTTGTATATGACAACACCGAATTTGCTGCAGTTTGACCAAACAAAATTAGTTTGCTGTGAGAGTCGCCAAACTCGCTCTCTCCGAGTTTGCTGCAACAACAATTGCACGCAGTTTGCCAAACAAAATTTCTGCATAACNTTTGTATGTATGTATATGTGTATAAATGTTCAAAGGGGGCGTATACCTGTTTGGCTCGTTGAATATATAGAAAAAGGGGAGCAGGTGTACGTGACTCGTTGGAAAAAATAATTTAGCGAGTAAGAGTTTTTGAATTGAAAAATGTATAGTTAGAAAAAGAATAAATGTGATCGTCGAACTGAATATACATACAAATTTGATTTTATCCCGGGCATCCTACAAAATTTAACTTTAAAGAAATTAATTTTTGGCTTTTCTTTGAAATCGGTAAACATTATAAAATATGAATGTCATTAATAGAAACACATACCTAGTTAAAAAAATATAAAAAATATGGAAGGGGGAGTTAAATTTCGGAGGCCTGTGTAATCATTTATTAAGTACCAAATTTTCTAAAAAAAAAAACACCCTGTTAATTTCACACAGTTTTTCGTTACAAACCTTGTCTGGTAGTGGAATGACCGGTGTAAAGTATGTATTGTTTTCCTCCTCCTGATATTCATCATCATCCGCTGCGGCATCTGCATCACCGCCACCACCGCCAAACTTGGCTGGACTCTTGCCCGACTTTCCGGGCGATTTCGGTTTTAAAGTAAAGTTGAAGTCTTTCTTGTCTAAAGAAAACGTTGTCGTAGATTCCCCACCTGCTCCAGAGGACGCGGGCTTTACAGGCCCTTCCATAGCTTTCGATTGCAGTGAGAAGGAGAAGGTAGGCTTAGATAACGAAGGAATATTTGAGCCGGTTGCGCTGCTTGCTGTGGGTGGTGTAAATGTAAAAGACTTAGACGAGTCAGCAGGTTTTGGATTTGTTAAATTGCCAAATATGGATTTGCATGGTTCAGACGGCGTTGAACCAAATACAAAGCCACTTGAAGAAGCTGGCTTAGCTGTAGCATTGTTGTCGGCAACGCTTGCAGCTGGGGTAGCAGCAGCGGCCGCATTAAAACCAAAAGTAAACTTTTGCGTTGGATTTGAGAGCGCCAGCACATCGTTGGAGGAGTCCTTCTTGGGAACAGTGTCATCTTTAGGCGCGTCGCATGCCTTGCAGTATAAAGCATCACCGGCGTTGCTTAAATAGCAGCCCTGACAAGTCCAGGAGCCAGCTTTCGGCTTGAACTGATCGCCAAATCCAGTTTTGGTGGATGTTTCCGTAGTGGTCGTGGACGTGGTGGAGCTTGGAGCGGAATCCGTCTTTGTTGTGACCGCGGTAAGGATACTCGAGGTTGCTGCAGGTTTTCCAAAAGTGAAACTACTTTCCGCTGCCTGTGCAGGTGCAGTGACGCCACCGGTCGCAACTGGTGAGAAACCAAAAACAAATGATGCCTTTGGAGGGTTCGTTAGAAACACATTTGTGGTATCCTTTTTAGGCACACTATCATCCTTTGGGGAATCACAGGCAATGCAATATTGTTTATCACCAGTGTTAGATATGTAGCAAGCAGAACAATTCCACGATCCAGNTTGGTATCCTTTTTAGGCACACTATCATCCTTTGGGGAATCACAGGCAATGCAATATTTTTTATCACCAGTGTTAGATATGTAGCAAGCAGAACAATTCCACGATCCAGCCTTTGGTTTGAAAGCATCACCAAAACCTTTTGCTGGTGCAACTTCCTTGCCGGCGGACTTTTCATTCTGTTTTTCCATTTGCTGTTTTTCGGCAGCTGCGGTCCTTACATTAACCTCATCAGCCTCACTACTCATGTTTGATTGTGCCTTGAGCACAGTCTCCTGGAACTCTTTGCAAGTTTCCGGTAACTTAAAGCGCACCGTAAGCATTTCAGTGACTAATTCATTCTCCGAGAAGTCCTGGCCAGCCCACGTTAGCGCAGTTTTGGAATTCTTCGCATATTTGAATAGGGTATCTTTATATATACGCTGATTGCAGCATAGCTTATGGATCTGTTCGCGCCGCATCACCAAACGCACTTTGTTCACATCGTCCTTATCCTGCAACAATTTTATGTTGCCAATGCCGCGGTCTTTCCACTCGCCTGCCTCCTTGTCGAAGCGCAATAGCTTGGCGCGATGTTCAAATAACACAAGCTCATTCTCCTCGCCAGTAGAGACTTCCACCAAATCAGGTAATGGTATAACGGGGTTGAACGTGGCTGTGGGTACATATTCATCCTCCGCGTCAGAAGTGCTCGATTTATTCAATGCAGTTGTAGGCGTAGCGTCACTTGTTGTGGTAGGTAGTATTGATGTTGGCGTTGCTGCGCTGGTGGCAATGATTGTCTGAAAAGTTGGTAAATTCCCCACGCTGAATGGTGTTGAAGTGGCGGAGCCTGGCTTGCCCAAAGTGCTGAAAATATTGGCGAAAGGCGAAGCATTGCTGGTGTTCGTTGTAGTAGCAGTAGCAGAAGCTGTGCTAACCGTGTTGGAGGCAGCGCCAATTTTGTCGAAGGTGAAGTTGGCGAATGGCGATGCTGTAGATTTTGGCAATTCCACCTTGTTGCTATCGGTTGCAGAAGAAGCACTCGTAGACGTTACACCAAATCCGCCGAACAATGTCTTTGAAACGCCGCCGCTTGGTGTAGAGTTCGTGGCAGCGACTGTTGGAAACGTTGACGTCTCTGTGGCCACTGGTAACTTATCAGCAACGGTTTTTGTAGCAGGTGTACTAGTGGCAAAATTAGACACAGCGCTCTTAGCTAACCCAAATGGCGGTTGTTGCGGTTGCTTAGCAACCGACTTTTCCTCAATGCTTTTTTCTTTCGCCACAGATGCCTCCTTCTTGCGATCCAATTCCTCTGCCTCCTTCTGTGCCTTCTTGAAAGCATCGTAGAATTGCTGAGCCGATTCGGGCAGCTTGAAACGAACAAAGAAACGTTCAGTCTTCAACTCCTCATCAGCAAAGTCATTAGCTACCCAAATATGGCCCTTTTTTTCATTCGTAGGTGTTGTTAGTATCAATTCTTTTGTGATTTTGTGGTTAGCGCATATTTTGTGAGTTTGGTCGCGACGCATAAGTATTCTCGAAAAGCCCTCCTTGCTCTTGAGGATTTTAATATCGCCAATACCACGTTCTTTCCAATCTTTATCAACAAACCGAAAGAGTTTTGCGCGACAACAGAACATCACATCTTCGTCCTCTTCGCCGGTTCGTACTTCGATTTCGGCTGGCAACGGTATTATTGGTTTAAAATCGGGTCTGGGGTCGTATTCGACGTCAGCTTCTGTGCCGCTCTTATTTGGTTCACTCGAGAGACTATCGCTTGTCTTATTTAGTACCGCGATAATATCGCTGGAGCTGCTTTCGATTGCTGCAGCGGCTGCTTGGGCTTGAGCTTGCTCGATTTGCGGTTTAAAGCTGAAAGTCGTAGTACTAATCGAGGTGGTTGGCATTGAAGAGCTTACGCTAGTGGTACTACTTCCGCTAAAGATTGATGTTGCAGACGAGGCTGAGGTTGCAAAACTATTACTGAAAGTAATACTGAACGGACCCGGTGCGGCTGAGCTGGCGCTACCGAAACCAAAGCCCGTAAACCCACCACTAACAATGCCATTTGTGGTGGTGGTATTAGCAGCTAAAGAGGCGATCGGTTGTATTGGCGGCTGCTGTGCACTTGTTTCCGTCGATGCAACGAGGCTAGGCTTGATATGGTGTGGTGGTATTGTAACACTCAAAGTTGGTTGTTGCGCCAATAGGGCTGGCCTATTGAGATTTGGTAAGGGATCTGAACTTGTTATTACCACATTAGCTGGTGGTCCCCTTTCAACTGGCTGGTTGTTGAGCGCCTTGTTGAATTGAATTGGAGCAGTAGTTGTTGCTGGTTGAGAAGAAACTGCTGGGGCCAAAGTACCAACCATTTGTTGGTTTAATGGCGCATGACTAGTGATGGGTGGCACCAGGGATGCAATGGACATTGGCACGGATAATTGTGGCAACGGCGGGGGTACAGTTGGTGGTTGTTGTGGTTGTGTCAGTAAGCCGTATAGATTGCTTGGACGGCCCTCTTGTGGTGGAGCCTGCAGCAATGGGGTAGATGGAGCCATACTGAAGTTTAAGCTGGCATCCATGTACTGCATCGGTAGAGCATTGCGTGGACCTGTGGGAGAAGTTGAGTTGTGAATATGGTAATCAAATGTAAGGCTGACAACACATCCAAAAGTTGGATGTGAAAGCAATAATTCCTGCTGCAAACAACAACGTAACGATACCTACCCAGTATACCTCCTGCCGATCCAGGTGGCGGAGGTGGTTGCGGCAACATGTATGACGGTGGATAATAATTCATTGGATAATTAGGATTGAACATTGGGCTATTGTATGCGGCCGCTGCTGCCATGGCGTTTGGCTGCAAGTGCATCGAGTTTCTTTGCTGCGCGGCTTGTTGCTGGGTTTGTTGTGTTGCTACAAACGGACTGTGTACGCCACCAGATGGTGGTGGAGCATTGGGGCCATTGGCAACACTGGGAAACATGCTGCCGGTCACACTCATATGCGGCGGTTGGGCTGGGGGCTGATACAATTGATTTTGCAATGCATCTTCGATCATGTAAAGATCATCCAGCACATGGGAAGCATCGTCTCGTGAAGGTGGATTCGACGAAATACGTGTACGTTTCATGGCGTCTTCAAGGCTAGTGATTTTATCCTTCAGTGAAGTAATTTCCTTGCGCATTGAAAGCATTTCTGGTTTGATTGTATCAACCAGTTCCTCTTTAACAAAGCTTAGAGTGTTTGCCATTTGCTTTACCAAATTCTCCAATTCGGTGTTGCGTGGCATTGCTATCAATGCAGAAGCATTTGTTTCACGACGTGAGCGATTCATTGCTGGAGTACCTGAAAGTGATACCTCGTGGTAGAAGTCAGCTTCGGCGTCCTCGTATGTGCTGGAATTATTGTGTCCAGTAGCAGGGCTACCTTCATTGATGAACTTCATTGTGGCTTGCTGGAGACGTTTTAATTCGGTGTGTATTATGGAATTTAAAGGATGATCAGGATTTGTTTCAGTATTCTTTAACAGATTCAACGTTTGATTTAGACATTCGCTAGCGCGGTCCAAGTACATGCGTTTAGCCTTCTTCGGCGTCTTATTGGCTTCGTCTAATTTACGATAAGCTTCTGCTTGCAAATAAGTGGCAAATGGTAATTGAATGCCCGCCAACTCGTCGATCAAGTCCTCATATTCAGCTTTCTTGAAGTACCGCGAAGCCAAGTACGAAACAGCATCTTCAGCCGCGTTTAAAACTTCACGCTCAACAACAGATGTGTTGGCTTTAGCATATTTGAAGTATTTACGAAATGGTTCTAGTACACCTTTGTTGTTCATTTTTACCATATTCAGGCCATACTTGTATATGTTCTCTGCCCGCGCTTCCAAAAACGCCTTCTCTACAGGCTTTACGATATCCTGTGCGCGTGCTACAAATATCTGTCCCAATTTGAATACAATGATCATATCGATTTTCGGGCCATTGACACCACGTACTGCTTCAATACCAAATTGAAGATTAGCGCGCAATTCTGCCAAATTATCACTGCTTAGGTTCTTATAAACCTGATAGGCAGCCTGCCACCAATTGGCTTGCTCGTCTGTACATAAGTGTCCTTGCAGGTTAGCATATGGCAATATACGCGGACGACCAGAGGCGCTGCGATTGCCAGAGTTGTAATTGTCAAAGGCCTCGCGTTCCACTTGTAGTGCTCGTTTGGCCTGAATAGTTGCCGCATATAGAAACGTATCCATATCCAGCTGATTCAGGGATTCAGCGCCGCAAAATGCCAAATTTTGGGTTGAAAAGTTCAAACCACTAAAATATTTGGCACGCACAAAGCCTAGATTGTCATTGCCAAGGCAAAGGTAAACCATATGTTGCAAAGACTGTGGTTTTAAGTATTGAGCTGCCTCCTCATGGTGCTCAACATCAGCATAGGTAGGCAACTCAAATACGGGCTCGTTTAGTTTTGGACTCTTGATTAGCAACGAGCTTAGCTCTTTCACTTTTTGATCGCTATTGCAATAGAGTAAAGCAAATACATTGCGACGCCATTGTTTATCCGAACAAGTTTGTCGAATTTGCGAGAGCAGCTCGTCGGTACTGGTCCATAGCGGAGGATTATTTCCAAGCAAGTTGTTAATTTGATTTGTGGCGTTCTCTTTATTGGTTGCCGACTCATCAGCTATACACGATAACAAAGTACGACCCGCCTGTAAATTAGTAGGTACATATGTACATTTACAAATTTATTTGAAAGTTAAAATGTACAAACATAAAAATTCTCGATGGTCCTGCGCAATAACGACGCATTTCAAAATACAAAAAATAAAAACTGTTACTACTGTTAAGTGGCTCCAGTCTCTAATCCTTGCCTAATCCATTTCCATCCCAAGTGAATACAAAAGTTACCAGTTTTTATTTTTTGAATTTTGAATTCTGTCGTTATTGCACAGGGCCATCGATATGTAGTTTTAATACAGAAAGTGTTACACAATTTTTACGCCTTACCTGCGCACACCGAAACGATCCCTCACGACTCCACNTAAAGTTAAAATGTACAAACAAAAAAATATCGAAGGTCCTGCGCAATAACGACGCATTTCAAAATACAAAAAATAAAAACTGTTACTACTGTTAAGTGGCTCCTGTCTCTAATCCTTGCCTAATCCATTTCAATCCCAAGTGAATACAAAAGTTTAGACATGGATTCGACAATGAAGAGAGCCATGAGCCACTTAACAGTAGTAACAGTTTTTATTTTTTGAATTTTGAATTCTGTCGTTATTGCACAGGGCCATCGATATGTAGTTTTAATACAGAAAGTGTTACAAAATTTTTACGCCTTACCTGCGCACACCGAAACGATCCCTCACGACTCCACAGTTGTATCAACTGCTTGCCTTGTTCGTCCGAGTGCTTCATCCAAGGCTCTCTATTATCGGGCACGTCTGTTTGAAATGCCAGAAGTAATAATGGCAGCACCGACTTCACAGTTTCTTTCCACTTATTTTTGTTTTGTAAAAGTTCACGTTTGAAAATTAAAGCTGCAGCATGTATCAACATCTGTCCGCGATAGTGATCCAAAAACAGATTAACCAGCTCGCGCTGTGCACATAATTTGTCTGACAATTGTGTCGCTTTAAATAAATACTGATCAAGATTGAAGAGCAAATTCGCAGTCTCAGTTATGCCGCCGGTTGCAGTGCCCGATGTTAAGGAGAAACTAATGTTCACTTGCCGTTCCAAACAGATGATCAACAACAGCCAGAATTCCCAATCTTTTTTCGAATTTGGCATCTGTTCATACTTGCTTAAGACTAGCCAAACAATGTTGTACCATTCGCTGTTGCTGGCGAAATTACCTTGCAAGCTCATTTCAAGATTGTAAACATACTTGAAGGCGTCAAGCACCTTATTTTCTTCAATGTAATTACGCATGAGCCGTACGCGCAATTGCACATCATTTGGTCGTGCGCTTATTTCTTTTTGTATTAAATCCTCCACTTGATTGTTTTCAAGATTTTCCTTATTCATCAGCTTCAAACGAAGCGAGAAAACTGCATCGTGCTGCACTTTTTCCGACTCAGCAAGCTCACACCAGTATTTCGCTTTATTCACATTTAAGTTCACATCTTCCAATAATAATTGGCAGACATCAGTCAAAACATCAGGTTGTTTGGAATTCAATTGTAAGGAACGCTGAAATGACTGTAGTGCCTTATCTGGTTTCTTAAGGCGTTGATAGCACTGTCCAAGTAATTTATGCGCCTGATCATTATCCTCTTTTACGCTGAGGTAGGAGCATAGATATTGCTCCGCAGTTGAATATTCGTTGATTTTGTAGTATAACTTGGCGATGGTAAAGCTGCGTAACTGCCGCTAAAGAAATTAAAAATTTGCAATTTTGTTAGCCAAATTATATTAGGAATTACGTACTCCATATTAAAAGTCATGTTTCACAGAATGCATGTATGTACATTAGGGTGCATCACTCTCCATACAAAACAAAAGTCGGTACTGTTATTCAATCGGAGTTGTAAAATTATTATATTTTAAGATTTGTGGGGAATTTACATTAGACGGATTTACTGGCAGCTTTTAGTTAAATGCAGCAGGTGCCTTGTGTAAACGGCCTTTCAGCTGCCTACTTTCGTTCAACTTTTGATTCAGTTAATCGCCTGTGAAAGTTGAATCATGTAAACTCCATATAACGTAAGTTGGACCAATTTGAAAATATCTCCAAAATCGTTAAGTTTTAGAAAATGATTGAAGAGTTTAAGCTTAAAAATTACTTATGACGAAAAGTGGTGGATAATGGGAAAGAGGGTGTGGCACCGCCCATACAAACTGAAATTCTCATATCGCTTATCTCTGGAACCGCCTATGCCAACGCCCTGAAATTTGATGTTGTCAATACCGTATTTACGCCGAAAAATTGTAGATTTTGGAAAAGGGGGCATGGAACTGCCCATCAAAACGGAAATTCTCATATCGCTTATCTCTGGAACCACTTATTATAAGGTAATGGAATTTTATACACCTTCATTTATACACAAAAAATCGCTAGAACCATTCAATTGGGAACCATTTTCTCCCAGATTTTAGAATCGCATTGAATGATTGTTGTTTTGTGCAGAAGTTTTTAAGAAGGATCAGTGTATTTGTCTTCCGATAGGTGACGCAGGGATTGACAGCTATCCAAAAAAAATTAAATTTATGATCAGATTTGTTTCACTTTTAGAACAAATATTAGTTACATAAAATTTGGTATAACTTGGTAGCCCAATCGTGTGATGAAAAAATATTGGGCTCTGGCCCAGTCTTGATAAAAACCCATGTGAAACCGACGGTTCTACGTACCGGAATGACTCGGGTTTTACCCGAACAAGGGCTGTTGGATCGGGGATACCCTTCACTAATTTTTCGTCCATGGGGCAACTCCTTGCAGCCGGATTGCTCCGCAACCCTTCTTCTCCGGACGGCAAACATATCTCTGCTGTGTGTGCCAGAATCGACTCCATCCGAGCTCCACTTCGGTTAGGTACAACTCATGCAACGGATGGAGTCACCTAAGAACCTGCTCTGGTCTTAGGTCTCATCTTGAGTGGACAACAAGCTATGTCGCTCCCTGTTGCTCAAGCCAAACGGCACAATCAGCCTCCACGGCTACCCGCTCGCGTAATGCACCCAACATTCGAAGTGCCTGCACGGTTCCTAGAAGCTCCCCTGGGCAGCAGCAAACCTCCCGAGGACCCTCGCCTGAGGGACCTTAATTTGGAGATTCGGCAACTGGTAAATAAGCACAATCGGAAAAAGTGGGAGAAGCACTTGAAGGCCTGTAACTTCACATCTGGTGTGAGTAAGCTCTGGTCAACCGTGAGGTCCTTGTCCTTGTGTTGACTGAGTGGAAATCTCATTCGAAGGTCGCCCTTCGTCGGACCCGAAGAAATGCGCAACCTACTTGAGTAGGCAATTCACACTGCATCCTTCGGTAGACAGTAGCGTGGGCCGAAAATCCGCTTTTTACCTCCCTCTTATTAGCTCGGGATGTAACTATGTAATATTGATGCGCCTAAAAGATGCAGCGATTTCTGTTCTCAAGTTACATACCTGATGTCAGTACGAATGGAAATTATAATAGCGAGGTTTTAGTTTTTTAAACTATAATTTTATTTAGAATTTTGATTGGTAATAGCAAAAATATGGTTCATTATGCTCTAAAAAATATCTGTGTGAAATGTGAAAGTTTTTGGTCAATATCCTAGGCTCGCCCAAGTCCATCAAAGTTCAAGTACTAAAAAAAATTTTCTTAGCTGACTTCGATTGTCTACAAAAAAGGACCATATACATAATTATGTAGGACTAATACTTTAGAAGATTATTGCAATTTTAGTAAAAAATGTATTACTTAATTTATTTATTAATTTTTATTTTTAGGCTATATTGAACTTTGATGGACTTGGGCGAGCGTAAGATATTGACCAAAAGATGTCATATTTCACACAGATTGTTTTTAGAGCATGGTGAACTATATTTTTGCTATTACCAACCAAAATTCTAAAAAAAAGCGGATTTTCGGTCCACGCTAGTAGACAGGGCCATACGTCGAGTGACCAGAAGGATGCACAAGCTGCCGAAAAACAGTGCACCACTTGTTTTCACCAGCTGTGAAGTGAAGGGGGCTATCGGGATCGCGAAAGCCTCCAAAGCCATTGGCCCGACAGAATCTGTATGTTGATGCTGAAACATTTGGGGCCTGCGGGAGTAGCTTACCTAACGGAGGTCCTCAACCTGTCAATGTCCACTCTCATCATCCCTGATATGTGGAAATCAGGGAGAGTGGTCCCACTGCTGAAACCGGGGAAGCCTGCCAACGAAGGAGACTCTTATCGCCCGATAACGCTCCTTTCCCCGGTCGCGAAGACACTAGGGGCCCTGCTACTCCCATACTTCACCTGCCACCTTACCCCAGCGAAGCATCAGCACGGATTCCGCAAAGTGCACAGCACATCAACAACAGCAATAACTCGGGGGCTAAATCGAAACCGCCCCTGTGAGAGAATGGTCCTAGTAGCGCTGGACTTGTCAAAGGCGTTTGACACCGTCTGCCATTCCACGCTGCTAGAAAACATTGAGGCCTCCTCACTCCCACAGGGACTGAATGAATTAAATGAGTGGTCGAAAGTCGTAAGTAATCTTCAGTGATCAAACCTCAAAACCAAGAAGAATTAAACAAGGGGTTCCACAAGGTGGTGTTCTCTCCCCCTTACTATTTAACTTCTACATCTCGAAGCTTCCCAAGCCACCTTAGGGAGTTTCCCTGATTTCATACGCTGACGATTGCTCGATTTTGGCGTCCGGGAATGGAATTGATGACCTCTGCTCAAAAGTAAACGACTATCTCTCCAGCCTTTCTCGCTTCTTCACTGCAAGGAGCCTAACACTCTTCTCGACGAAATCAACGGCGACCCTCTTCACCACCTGGACGAAGGAGGTCAGGCTAGAATTAGGTATACACGTCGATAGCCCACCAACACCGACCGTAAACAACCCGAAAATTTTAGGGGTCACCTTCGATAGCCTGCTCTCCTACTCCACGCACATAACCGCAGTTGTCAATAAAATACAGAGCCGCAACAAGGTCCTCAAGTCGCTCGCCGGCAGCCCTTACGGCAAAGACAAAGAAACGTTGCTAGCAACATACAAGGCAATTGGCCGGCCGGTTCTAAATTGCCGTTAGTGGAACTTGACGACAACGACTGAGATACCAACCGATCTGGGCGGGGTTATTGTAGCCGCTACAACAACAACAACGGAGCTTCAACTGCG